TCCAGGCTACCTGCCCTTGAGTGGGTAGCACTCACACCCCTAATCCCAGCACCCTTCCTCCTAGCATTGCACCATGAATCAGTTCCAGTGTCACACACTCTAGATCCAGCCGCCTCTGGAAAGCCCCACCTATGACCACGTGAAGCTTTGGGGGACATCAAGACACAACCCATACCACCTTTCAAGGTCCCATCTCCAGTGACCCACCTACTTCCTGACAACATATTCAGCTACTGATTCATCAGAGGATAAACACATGGCCACCAGCTTGTGCCACCACTGCTACATACATGACTGTCCCATCAGGTGGCGTAGGCTAGTCATGCATGCATCACTGGTGTACAGGCTGCCTGGTGGAGCAGCCATGCATGGGCAGCCCTGTCATGAGTGTGTCCGTGCAGCGAGTAGTGCCCTCGTGGTCCCTTCCCATGGTCTGTTCCATGATCTCATGGGCTGTGGGGGAATATTTTAGATCTGAGCTGTAGCAATCACTCCATCCATACTGTTTTATATGACCTCTTTCTTCAGTAATGCCTTTTGTTGGAATATTAAATATCCTGTTATGATTCTCTAATTTTCTCACCATTTTTATATTCCCATTTTTCATCTCTTTTTGGGAGCTGACCTCTGCAAGCCTTCCTCTTACATGTTTTTATTTGAACTTTCTTATTTAATGTTTAAGTGTTTTCCTTTTTTATTAATAAGCACTTTTAGTTTATTTTTTATTTTTTCTTTTAAAGAGAATAAAAAAATTAGAAACAATACACAATTTCAAAAAACAAGGTGATAGGAATTCAACACTGGTTATATTGCATATTGTCTTAAAAGTAGTTCAGATTACAAGAGATAAGCATGTAAAATTGGTCAAAATAAAAAAAAATAAGCATTAACTGTTCCTTTCAGTAAACCAATAGAAATTAGTAGTACAATTATCTTAGCTCTTATATGTGTGTGTGTATATAGATAGATAGATATAGATATAGATATAATTTTTCCCTCTATAATTTCTCCCTTCTTTTTCTCCTTTCCTTTCAGATTTTATTTACTCTTTCAGGTTCTTATACTAGGGAGACAATATGATGTTTACACACAAGCAAGTCTGATGAAAAGTTTTTGCACATCTAAAGAAATCACCAACAGAGCAGAAAGAAAACCCACAAATTGGGAAAAAAAGTGTAGCCAACTGTCCCTCAGACAAAGGACTTCTATCTAGAACATATAAAGAATTTTTAAAAATCAGGCCCCCAAAATCCAAAAACCCAATCCAAAAATGGGCATCTGAGATGAATACACACTTCTCAGATGAAGAAATACAAATGGCAAATAAATCCATGAAAAAGTGTTTCACATCATTGGTCGTTTGAGAAATGCAAATTAAAATGAAATTGAGAGTCCAGCTCACCCCAGAAAGAACAGTTATCATTAAGAAGTCAACCAGTAATAAATGCTGGAGGGGCTGTTGGGAAAAAGGAGCCCTTCTCTATTGCTGGTGGGAGTGCAGACTGGTGCAACCAGGGTGGAGATTCCTCAAAGAACTAGGATTAGAGGTCCCATTCCACCCAGCTATTCCCCTGCTGGGTATTTTCCCAGAAGAACTGAAACATCATACCACAGCGATATATGTGCCAGTGTTTATAGCAGTACAATTTGTCATAGCTAAATCTTGGAAACAACCCAAATGTGCATCAGCTGTGGAATGGATAAAAAAGATGTATTTTTATACAGTGGAGTATTACTCAGCTATAAAGAAAGACAAATTCAAGGCTTTTGTAGGTAAATGGATGTGACTAGAGGCGACACTCACAAGTGAAGTAAAGTTTTAAGTGTTTTCTGATTATTCCTTTTTGTAGCACCTTGTTCTTCTTTCACAGCTGCAAAGTATGATCTTTCTAGGAGCATCAGTTGTAATTCCTTTCAGATTCTTTCCTCTGAGTTACTTTTACTTTTTGTGTTTTGTTCATTTCATTGGAGATTTTCATAGCTATGTGATCAGCTTTCGCTGTCTATAGGTATTTAAGATAAATTCTTAAATGTAAATGGGTAGAGCTTGTTTATTCCTGTAACTCGTGGTAGAGTGATAGGACAGCAAGGTGGATTTTTACTAGGGGACTCCAAATGTCCTTTTCTTGTAGCATTTGTCTTAGGTCAGTCCATATGTCCAGATGTGACGTCAGTAGTCTCCTGCCCTGCAATATGTAAGCATGGAGTAGAGGCAGAAAACGGAGGGGAGCCTCAGCCTCTGTGCTGCTTTCCCTGTGCCGGACTTCTTGGTCTGCTTAACCTCTGAAAACAACCTCCAAGTATGCTGCCCAAACGGAAGCAGTAACTAATGCAGTGATTGCTTGGTTGTCAGGGCAGGAGATCTAAAGGGTGCGGCACAAGGTGGAGACATAAACATAGACTTTCCACCGACCCCTTCCTTTCAACCTTCATTCTCGGCAATAGTTTGTGCCTCCAATGTTCAGAGACTGACATCAAACAAACTTACTGTTAGCTTCTACCTCTTCAGAAACCCCAGGGTGCTCGCTCTCACCCTCTCTCTCTCTCTCTCTCCCTCTCTCTCTGTCTGTCTCTCTCTCTGTCTCTCTGTCTGTCTCTCTCTCTGTCTCTCTGTCTGTCTCTCTCTCTGTCTCTCTGTCTCTCTCTCTCTCTGTCTCTCTGTCTCTCTCTTTCTCTCTCTCTCTGCCCTTAGAGATGTATGTCCTTTATTAATAGTTTAGTGACATTTTGAGGTTGACTTTTCATGTTTAATCAAGAGAATCATTCTTAAAGGATGTAAGAACATGCCCCTATTGCTTCACTAAAAAGTTAATTTTTATATGTTTTGGGAGGCATATATTTCTTCAGATTATGCATTTAAGATTACTATAAAGAAATGACATTACTTGTCACTGTCAAAGTTGTATCCTGTTGAGGTTGATTTGCAGAAATGGTTAGTGAGCTGGCCTGAATCTGACACACCTTTTTCCCTTTTCTTTGACAGCACACACTAGCACACATAAGGCAGGTGGCTGAATTTAAGAATTTTCAACAATGTGGATTTGGTTTTCTCCAAAAAGCCATCTCACCTCTATGGAAATTGACCCTATAAATGAGGCTTCCCTAAAATCCTACCCTCACTAACTAAAGTGACTGCTCTCAGAAAATAAATATTATATAGCGTTTCCTTTAGGATGACCTAGGAATTTAAACATAGCATTTAAATCTGATGCAGTATCTTCACTAAAGCACTTAGTCAAGCATGTTTCTTTCTTACTATGCATAATTAAGAATTGTACTTATATTTTTTCTTCCAGAATTAAGTAATCTTTGTATATTCTTATAACTGAGCTCATTTTTAGATTTAAGTTGTTTGAATTAATCAGCTTTGTAAACCTAGCATAAATGCAACTAGCACATTTAACATACTCCTAGAGAATACCTCCATCCACTAAATAAGAAAGTGGAACAGTTTTCTAACCCTGCTTCCCAAAAAGCCTTATACTGATACATATACCCTAATCATGTCGTGGCTTTTGCTTAGGAGCATGAGCTGATTGCTGGCCTGGTCTGTACCTGGACTCTTACGACCATTTAGAAGATTCTGTGACGTATTAGTGGCCTTGGCCTAGTTTCTTACTGGCATGTACTAACCTCAAACTGACATGTATCAACATTCATAAGACATCTAAGTAAGAAAAGCAATGGATGATATCTTTCTTTTCTATAGCAATGATACAAATGCTCTTTGCAGGGTTTTTTGTTGTAACTGAGAGGTTAAAATTTAAGTCTGGCATGGTAGTGCACGCCTTTAATCCCAGCACTTGGGAGGCTGAGGCAGGAGGATACCTGTGAGTCCAAGGCCAGGCTGAACCACATAGTGAGACCCTGCTTCAAAAAAATAAAAAATAAAATAAAATTTAACATTTCCTTGTTTTAATTTGAAAACTTTTGAATGTACTTCTCCTCTGACTAAAGCACAGTCTAGAAACTGCTTGGACCAGTGTCTTCAAGAAATTATGTAGCATTATATCTCTGTGTGACCTGAGACCATAGGCGTTCCTAATCCATGGGTTGTCTGCAATCTTTCATGGATTCATCTGTGATCATTTTAAACAGAGCCGGTGAAGAGAGGATTGCTTTAGTTAGTAGGTCATCCAGCTTACACACACCTCTCTCATTGGAATGGAAACGTAATCAAGGGAAAACTGAGTAACTCTGTACTTGCATTTTATATCTTACTTGGCAACTTATTTGAAAATGTTGCATAAAATGCCCAGCACAGGAAACATAGTCTGCGCTTTTTCCTGCTTATGATTAATAAATATGGAATCTGAGGCATTCTACTTCGTAAATCAAGGTCTTAGTCCAAATTTCCTGTTTTTCTACCTTAAAAAACAAAACTCAGGATAAAAATAGTACCAAACTTATAGGGTATTCCAGAGTCAAGGTAACAAGAAGGAAAATAAATTACTCTGGGCGCTATGATAGAGACTGTTACCAGACGATTAGCAGAGACATTCATTTTGTAGTCACTATTTTAAAAACATATGTGGTGTAGCTAATTTTATAAAAGCATAAAAATACTGAAAAGAGGATAGGAATGGATAATGCAAAATAATAAGCCAGTGACTTGGAAATGCAGGCGCACACAGCCGGTTTATGGAAAACCCCGGTCGCTCCAGGCAGAGGCTCCGCCACATCCTAGTTTTAATCACGCTTGTTTCTGCCTGTGCTTTACAGACTGGCTGCTGCCTTCCCTTTCATGCTCCACACACATCGAGTGCATGTACACTCACTCACACAGTCTGACCTTCGTTCAAGGACTCTCCAGTCTTAAGTCACCTGCACTTTCTGACTTTCTCGAGTTCTCACAGCTCGGCCCCGGTATCGAGCACCACGGGGGTTCCAGCATCCCAGGCCAGAGATTATTACCAAGGTATTATGAGGAACGCATGCATGGCATTCACTGATGCCTCCTCACAAGATGAAGAATACTGTCTCATTTGGGTTCTTTACAGCCGAAAGAATGTTTCCTGATACAACCAAAGGAAGCAAAAGAAGATGCCACCAAGACCAGGAAGAGGAGAAAGGTAATGGTAATCATTTCCTACAATGATGTGGCCCCACTTTGTAGATACAGAAATTCTAAGATTCAGCCAGATTCAGTGACTCTCCTAAAGTCACTCGTAATAAGAGTTCCTGTTGGGACTAAAAATAAATTCTTGCAACTCCTGTTAGAGTCTCGTGCTGCACCAAACATCTTTGTTACCCATCCTGTGCTTTCCTTGTGGTTAGATGTCAGACCTAAGTTCAGAGTTGTTCTCCCTGTGACCCCTCTGGATGTGTCCAAGAAAAGAACTTACCAACCTTCTTTTCCTGCACATTTCTAATTTTGTGACCTTGTATCTTAAAATATTAATAAAAAAATAATAAGCACAAGAAAGTGACATAAGGCATTTCTGGCTCTACTGTGGAATCATAATTTCCCGCAAAACTCCCCTTCTATTTTAATATTTGCCTTTCGGTATAGAGCAGACTCTTGCTCCTATACAAACTTCTTTATGGCATAACCTTGGAGAGTAAGGTTAGCTTTTACCTTCCACCACACTTGTGAGAACAGCAGTGCAGTTCTCCATCTGCCAAGAAAATTCTCCTGCTGCAGTCAGCAGAGGAAATATGACTAAGATTAGAGGAAAGAGGATGAACTCAAACCAGTTACTTAACAGCAAGCTCTTAGAAAACCAAGTGTGTGCCTATTTTTTCTTTGCTCACAAATGGTCAAAAAGGAAGACAGGAGATGCCACATTGGCGGAGAACTGGAAAGTCCTTAGAGAAGTGACTTGAACTTCTCTCTGATAATTCATACACTAATGGCCTCAGGCATGCTAAATTCTGGTGACTCAAGGTCAGAAGTCTAGCTAGATAAGTTAGCTTTGGCTGAGGTCATGCTGAAACGTGCCCACTGGTGACATAGTTTTAAAAGTTAATAACTTCGATAGGACCTCGACCATTCTGGGCAGCGGTACAGAAATAAGGGTACCATGGAAAGAGGGAAGAGCGGGGGCTGGAGGAACGGCCCTCTGGATCTTCGGTGAAACATTAGGAGGAAGTGAGAAGGGACGTTTACAACAAAAATGAAGTCAATGATTGTATGTTCACAGTATACTGGAGGCACTAAATAAAAGCATTATGTAAGCGAGATCAAATCAAAACAGGTATTTGGAAGTGTTTCCTCTAATATCTGTTCTACTTTCTGTATGGCCACTTTGAGATTGTGAGCCTCCTAAGACTTGAAAATCGGGTGTAAAGTCCACAGGGATATAAAGCTCCTGTGTTCATATTACTTCTGCAGGCTTAATGCTAATGCTGTAAATGCAAACTAGACTCACCACCTCAGAATTCAGGTAGGCAAGAAATTCTCAAAATCTTCCAAAAATGTAGATCATGTAAGACTAAAGAGAGCCGGGTGCGGTAGCCCACACTTCTAACCCTAGCTGCTTGAAGGTGATAAATTGGAGGCCAGCACAGACAAGTTAGCGAAGCCTTTTCTCAAGGAGGGATGGGGATGTAAGCTGAGTAGCTTAGTACTAGAGCAACCCTGAGGTCATCCCCAGTACCACCCACGGGGGGGGGGGGGGGGGGGCTAAAAGAGTAGTTGCCATAGCAACAAGGTTTATTGGTTTTTACTAAAAAATACTATTATGGAGTCTCCTGCAAAAGTCAATTCTTCTAGAAGTCATACACCAGGAGTTATAAGAAATCTTTTAGATCGTCCATTCATTTTTTCAAGACAGTTATGTCCCAGAAGTGTTCAGTAGGTTTTCTCAAGTGTGTTTGTTAGACTTCACATTTATACTGAGCTATCACTAAAAGCTACAAGCAGTTTAAATGCCGGAAGAATGAACCTAAGCCAGATGTCATTCTGAAACCTATCTTTCTATTGTTTTTTTCCTTCTCACATCTTAGAAGAAAATTACTGATGTCCTCGCAAAATCAGAGCCAAAACCAGGGACGCCTGAAGATCTACAGAAGCTGATGAAGGACTATTACAGCAGCAATCGCTCAGTGATTGAATTAGAAGAACTAAATCTACCAGGTACCGCCACGCTTGAATTTTTCTAAGAAGGAAAAGCAAAACAGCTCATTTCTTCCTTACCGTATGTATGGTCAGATACTTTAACCAGTAATTCATGTGTTTTCCACATGCTAGTACTCCTTTCCTCACCACAATGATCTTAGCAATTGGGTGATTTCCTAATTAAAATGACAAATGGTATTTGTTGAATTTCATAGTGAGTTATTATTGTATTTTCTTTTTGTATTTAAAAGAGCAAATGTTGCATATGTATGCTTAGCAGACTCTTCAAGGAGTAAGAGTTCCTAAGAAGGGTAGAAGTTAAAATAAAGATAAAGCACACCTTTAAAGTATGGATATGAAACTTTGGTTGACTATAACTTTGCCATGATTAGCATCTTAGCAGGGATTTCCTATCATGGCATTGTTTTTAGGGTAGTATTCAGGTTAAGCTCAGACTTTTTTAAGTGAGCTATCTAAATATAGTAACAAAATGCTGCACATACAGGAAGGTTTACATGTAATCTAGGTCATTCTTTAAGTCTATTATAGTTTTATATCTACTGCCTTAGAATATTTATAATTAAAAGCCATTGCAAAATTAAAATAACTATTTTTAATTAATGTTAAAATTACGATATAGCCAGGCATGGTGGCGCACGCCTGTAATCCCAGCACTCAGGAAGCTAAAGCAGGAGGAGGCCAGCCTGGGGTACATAGCGAGTCCAAGTCCAGCCTGGACTGCGTTGCAAGACTTTGTCTCCACAAATAAATAAACAGATACATACATAGATAGATAAGTGAATAAATAAAATGATGATATTATATTCTATAAGTCTTTTGGGCAGGGATGGAAGAAAATAAATGTGATCATAATAGCAAACCCTAAATAGAGTACTGAGATGAGCTATTTATAAACACTAGGAATAGCTGATTCTATTTTTGGAAATAGTCAAAGGTTGCTTGATTTCCTTTTTCCATTACAACTTTATGCCTTAGAGAAGCTTGAGAAGCTAGAAAGCAGTCTGTTCCCTGAGTTTTTAAAATTTTTTGTGATATCCTTTTATTAAAATTGCACACTGGGTTTAGAGACATGAGTGACCCTTTGTTTCTTTTCCAAGAAAGTTGCCTTCAGGGAACTGAGGCGTGCTCTGGCACAGCAGCAGGACCGGGGCTTTAGGCTCCAGCTCAGAGGGCTCCAGCGCAGGCGCAAACCACTGTGCTCAGCACCCAACTCCTCCAGGCCTGGGTGGCTGTGCCGCAGGAGCCACGTGCCACAACCAAGCCACTCCCCGACGTCTGGCTGGGGCAGTCCTCCCCGAGCTGCGGCAGCTTTTACCGGAGGGGGCGGCTCTCCATCCCCACTCTCGGTGAGGGCACACTTTGAATTTAAGCAGGGCTTTGAGTGAAGGGGACCACCGCTATTGTGCAATCTCTGGAACATCATAAACATTGTTTTTCTCCAGAATCGTTGAGAGCTACAGGTCAGAAGAAACTTTAAAGCAGTTCTCTAAGTTCCAGAGTGAGTTGCTATTGTTTTACACACAAGGATGTGTGGTCATGGATTTGTTTAGAGAGGAAGAAAAGTATGTCAGAAATCAGGCTTTCGTGTTCAGTAGCAACATTGGGTCACCGTGAGACACAGTAAACTGAAGAATCGCTGGAAGTGTTGGAGGAGCCCCAGTTACTGTGCTGATGACCGAGGAAGGATAGGAAGGCTGAGCTGCTGAGAGGGGGCCCAAGCGTGAGGTGGACCCACGTATAACTTCTCTTCCGTTGGTCAAGGGTCAGACTTGGTTTTAATCTGAGGTGGTTAGGGTCTGTAAGGCAGGAGCGTGTCTTCTCAATGAATACGGTGTGCTATACGTTGTTAATCTCACACACACGGGCCTTTAGTTAGGGTTTTTAGGCCAGCCGTACTGGGAGCTAATGAACCTCTGCCGTCTCCTGACAGCGCAGAGGGGCTTGGATCAGTGATTCTAAATGCTTGCAGGCTAGCTGCAGTTTCTGTGAAAGCAGCCCAGGCCCCCCTCAAGGGATTCTGACTCCCTATGCCAAGGAGAGCCTGTCCTAGGGAGCTGCATCTTTTGTAAAGAAAAACTACCCAGGTGAGTCTGATTATGTCCGAGCGTAGGGAATTATAGTTTTAAGGACCATCAAAAGCCCCACAACAGCATAAGATACAAAAACTTCTACATTGCTGACATGTGGTGACTTACGTGTGCTAGGTCACAACATAAATGTAATTTCGTAATGGTTTATTCCCTGATGCTCTGAGAAAGAGGTTGATAACCATGATGTTGATTTTTTAGACATCTCAGGTACAGAGGTACAGTTACAGAGATCAGGCACAGTTACTTAACTGATACATTGTCTTTGGTTGACAAGGGCCCTATTTTATTTTATTTTATTTATTTTTTTTTTTTTTTTGGTTTTTTTCTGGTACCAGGAACCGAACTCATGACCTTGCGCTTGCCAGGCAGGCGCTTTGCCGCTGAGCTAAATCCCCAGCCCCCCTATTTTATTTTAATGTATTGTCTTTAATGTGAGGTTGTAAAGTATTATATTCTGATACATTATTCCCATTCTTCCCAAATAAATGTTCCTTTCCTTTTAGACATTCATTCTAATATATTGCTATACATTTTTAAGTATGCATATATTTTTATAAAATGCCATGTTTCTGTATGTGCATTTTCAGTGTTACGTGAATGACCTTGTGCTGACCCCGCTCCGTTTCTCAGATGTGCCTGTGTGACTTTGTGTCCATCCAACCCATTGCTCCTGAATGCCGCGTCGTGCTCCCGTGTTCGCTACTGCATGTCCCTTGTCCGTTTTCCCACGTGTGCTCTTAGGTTGTCTCCACGTCAGTGTCACAAATGCCCCCAGCATGAGTATCCTTGTATGTGTTCCTCCACGGACCACACAAGGATTTCTTTCCACTAGGTACCCAGAAATGGAATGTCTTTCCGTCATTTGTGCTGGCATCCCTAGGCGTATAATTTTAATATTACTACTTTCCAGAATAAGGATGCCAGTTCACATTTCCAGCTAAGGCTGACAAGCATGCCTATCAGCCTGCATTCACAGCGCTTGATACTGTCCAGTCTTCCTGACGTCAGCCGCCCCGGTTGGGTGCTTTGTCTCACAGGTGATTAACTTGTGCTTCTCCGATGAGTGCTGGGTCTGAGCTTCTCTGACAGGCGTGTTGGCCCCTTCACTGCGCCGCTGTAATATTGCCTGTTCCATGGGTTTGAAAAATGAAAGCGTGTCGTCAGTCTGTTGAGTGCTACAAAAAGCTTCTCTTTCACTACCAGAAGAAATTACGGGCATTCAACCAAGCTATTCCCCTTCTAGGTATCTTCTCTAAAGAGCTAAAGACGTCATATTACAGTGATACGTACATCACCCGTGCTTACAGCAGCACAGTTCATCATAGCTAGATCATGGAAGCGGCCTGTATGTCCATTCGCAGATGAATGGTAGAGAAAGTGTGGTGCTTATACGCAGTGGAACACTACTCTGCCTTAAAGAAGGACAGCCTGGAGTCCTTTGTAGGAAAATGGGTGCACTGTGAGACATAATACTAAGTGAAACAAATCAGGCACACGAGCTTAAATACTGCCTGGTGTCTCTTAGAAACCAAAACAATAAAGAGCAAAAGAAAAGGGAGCTAAGAAGGAGTAGGGAGATAGACCCTTTACAAGTGGGAAGGGGACCAAGAGACGAGAGGAGAGAGGTGGCGGGGGAAGGGGTGAGGAAGACGGAGCCGCGCCGTGCGCCACCCCCGCGAGGACTGTGACCTTGTGCACTGCGACATGTGCCAGTAAAACTAAGACAAGAGAAGAAAAGAACAGCAAAATAAAAGGGAGAAAGTAGGGAGATGATATCTTTTACAAAAGGGAGCTGGGCCGAGAACGGGAGGGGCGGAGGGAGCGGGGAGAGGGCGAAGACAAGAGCTAGGCTGTGCTGTGTGGCCCCGGCCGCTCCGCGGAGCAGCGTGTCCTGTGGACCCGCGCCCACAGAAACTTCCAGCCGAAGAAGTTACAGCGGCCTGTGGAGCGCTAGGGGTTTACTCCTCCTTGGTGCTGCTGTTACCTGAAACACTTTAAAGCGCATGAGCGTTGCTAGTGTTCTGTGCCCTCGAGGAGCGCGTCGTTTGTGTTGAAACTGGCTGGTCTGCACGTTTGTGAGATTTTCTTCAGAGCCTGCTTCTCGTGTTTCCAGATTCCTGTTTCCTCAAGGCCAATGACTTGACTCACAGTTTCTCATCGTACCTAAAGGAAAGTAAGTAAACTCTGATTTTTAAAAAAATTATTCTCCAGGTATTACTGAGAAGATTTATCTCTTTTAAAACCTTTTAAAAGTTTTTATCTTAAGTGAATTTTAAGTGACGAATTTTTCTTTGCTCCATCTTGATGTTAATTGTTAACCTAGTTAAATCTGTACTTGTTTTGGTCTAGCGCTGGAAACTAGGGTTTCGGTGTCATTCTGTAAGTATTGGTCCAGGGACCTAGAGAGTAGTGCTGGAGCGCCGTGTCACCCAATAGCTTGCTGTCTGACCGCGGACAGGTCACTGAGTCCTCGTGCCTTGATTCATTATCTGAAGAATAACGGAGTTGGACCTTGATTACTGAATGCCAGCTGTGTGATCCTGAACCTCTGTTCACATGGTCGGAACTCAGAACTTTCCCAAAATCAATCTAATTCGATCTTTTCAGTATGTATGGTATGTAGCCAGAGATAACTAGATTGTTGAAAGTTTAGATATAGAGACTTAACATTCTTTCACATTGTAAGCAGTTCTAATGATAACTAACGTGAGTAACTTCTCAACACCAAATTCAGCAAATGTAAGCCTAGGTAATGATAGAGTCAATCCTGCTGGATTATACGAACTTTAAAATGTGTACAAAATGCTTAGCACAGTGTGTGAGAAATGTTGGCTATTATGTACAGGTCGGTTCCATTTTATGTCTATGGTAGATGTCATTTTAAAATTCAACATTGCTGAGTCAGAATTCTCCTCCCATTCAGTCAAGAGCACCTTCAGGCATCAAACATGAGTTAAACTATTGAAAATGTATCAGTATAAACTCGTTTACTTCTAAAATTAGTCACGTTCAGGTGCCTGGTATATTATGTACTGTGTTGTAAATTAGTTACATGTCACTTTACTCTAATGTCTAGAATAACCAGAAAGTAGAATTATAATGAGCATGGTCATTACATTCCTTTTGCTTAAACACTAGCAAGTAAAGGGAGAATCCTCAGCTTTGGAAACTTCTGCTATATTTTGAATACATTTCTGTGGCTTATTGTTTGTTTGTTTGTTTGTTCGTTTTAGTTTGTCCTAAGTGGGTAAAACTGCGGAAGAACCACAGTGAGAAGAAGTCGGTCCTGATGCTGATCATTTGCAGCTCTGCCGTCCGAGCTCTGGAGCTCATTAGGTCAGAAGCTTCCCCAGCTCTCCTTCTTAGGTGTCTAAGAAGTAACGAATGTGTGGCAGCCTGATGGGTCGGGTACAGCCGTGAACAAAGCAGAGTCTGCCTCGTGGAATTTACATTCCAATGGGGAGACCGACAGTGAGCAAGGAAAACACGTTATAATGTTACGTGGAATAATAAGTTATACAGAGAAAAAAATAAAGTATGGAAAAGGAGTAGAAGTCGACGGGGACTGTTTATAGAAGATTGGTCATAGAAACCTTCTCTCAGGAGACAGTGTTTGTGAGGAGACCTGAAAAGAACGAAGGGAGAACCCAGCAAACGTCCAGGAGGACGGTTGGGACAGTGCGTGCCCGGTGGGTGGGACGGAGAACACGGACGCTGCAGGGGTGCTGTCGGGGGATTTTGAGTAGACGAGTCCTGAGATTTCAGTCCTCATTTTGAAGGATCTCTGACTGCTGTGTGGAGAAATGCAGTCAGGGCAGGGCAGAGGCGTGCCAGCAACAACAGTGAGAAGGAAGAACGGGCGGGGGCGGGGGCAGATCCTCCTCGGAGCAGTAGCAGGAAACGGTAGGACGCCAAAGAACGAACTTCCCAAAGTCGATGTAAAGAAAGTATCATATGGGGTGTGCTCAAAAACTACAGTGAGTATTTTTTAAATTTCTTACAGGAAAAGACACGTTACAGTTTACCTCCCTCAGAACACTCCCCTTGCTGAACACACTTACCCTATCCTTTCGCTCTGACGCACCTTGGTGAATGTCTTTAGTCGAGATGTTGTGGGTGCCTCTGTGTCCTGAATGGGCTGAAGTTGTTTACATTTGTGATCATTTGACTTGGGGGAAGCGCCGGACGTTTGCATGGTGCCAGGTCCCGTTAACGCAGTGGATGGCAATATACTGTAATGTTTTCATTTGGCAGAAATTTTCCATAAACATTTGATCAATGCAAAATGATCAAAAATAGTGAATATTAAAAAAATTCTTAACAGTTTTGTAGTGAAAGACACATTTCCAAGAACCATAGGATAACTGTGTTCAAAGTGAGGGAGAGTATCTTGAGGCTGATAAATGGCAATGTGTCTTTTTTATAATAATTTTTTAAATTTACACATTCACCATATCACTTTATCATCCCTTGAATAAGGGAGAGAAAAGATCTTGAACAAAGGAAAATGTGTACCATATTCTTGAATAGCAAGAGTCAATATAATTAAAACATCTGTTTTACTTCGGGTAATCTACAAATTTCATAGACTCCCAATAAAGCCCTAATAAAGCTATATAAAATATAGCATTATTTTTTAAAACATTTAGGTCTAAGTTTATATAAGAAAATATACAACTGAAAATGAGCAAGGATATTATGAAAAAGAATACTAAGAAGAGGATATTACAGAGTGTCAGTTATCAAACCAGTGTGGAACCGTCACCTCCATGACAGATTAGATCAGTGAAAAGAATTAAAAGGTGAAAAATAGACCTAAATGCATATGAAAATGTAGTATACGGCTAAGGAAAGAAATCAGGAATCAGTGGAGAAGTACAGGTTACTTAACAATTGGTTTGGAGCACTGCATAGCCATCTGTAAAAATGAAGTTGGATTTATATCTCATTTCTTATACCAAGATAAATTTCATAAGGTCCAACCATTTAAATGTAAAAATTTTATGTTAAACACATAAGACATGTTTTTACATGTCTCTTCATTAACTGTATTTTTGTAGAATGGACAAAAGTGTTCGTTGGTTCAGGGTGAAATTCAGTGCCCCAGAGAAGAACCAGCAGAGTACAGTGGGGTTCACTGGGGGCCCTCTCGGGGAGCCAGGCTCTGAGTCACGCTCCGACAGGAGACACAACAAAGGAAAGTCCAAGTCGGGAAACAGAAACTTGGTCAGCTACGCTGTTGCACTACTGTAGCCCTTCAAAAGTTATTTGGAATGTATTTTTTTAAATGAAATAATCTGGGGCTGGGGATTTAGCTCAGCGGCAAAGCGCCTACCTGGCAAGCGCAAGGTCGTGAGTTCGGTTCCCGGTACCGGAGAAAAACCAAAAAAAGACAAAAAAAATAAAAAAAAAAAAAAAGAAATAATCTAATTATGATTTTTTGAAAAAATAGTTGTTAAAACTTTAGTAGCGTTTCCAACTCTCCTTCCCCACTGAAGCACACACGCACTAAGTTGCATCCCCCTCCCAGTAAAGCAAGTGTTCCCTTCAGCCTGCTTCCGAACATAACTGATCTTCCACACCCCGGTCTCAGGACAGCTGTGCTTTCTGGCCCTGAAGTGAGAGCGTTCATACTGACTGTCAGCGCTTTCAAAAGCCAGCAACCACAGAGTTCATCTCTGATTGAAAGAATAATGGCAAAGAGGTTGGCCTAGAGGTGATCTCTTAAACATAAGCGGCCAAATTGATTTCAACTTTTACTGTATGGAAAGGGCGTAAAAGCACCGTGTTGTCACACTTCATTTACAAACTGTCACTGTTTGACTGTGTTCTCAGTAATACTATGATTCATATCAAGGTTACATGACTTGCCGAAGGAGATTTCTGAGCAGGCGGAACAGGCTATATTTTTAAAGACTAATGTTCAGTAACTAACTTTGGTAAGAACATCTGTTCTCTTGAGGGATACGAGCTATGTTAAATTGTCTCTAGTTAACCTTGCCATGGAGAAAACCTGTGTGTAATTGAAACCTTATATGGAACAGAACTTGTATAACATGGTTCACTATTTTGCAAACTCTTTTATTCCTCTTGGTCAGTGATATATCTCGAAACATAATGATGTGTAAAGGAAAGTCACATTCCTGAGTTAGGTCATCTCCAAATATCAGTTAAAAGATTTTTTGTTCATTTATATCCATTTCAACTCAAAACAGGATTTTAGGTGAGATGCAGAAATACAAACAACAAAGGAAATACTGGTGGTAAAAATACAAAGTTTTTTAAAAGTTCAGAAAGTCAGGTAAAGTAAGGGTTGGTGCTCAAAATCACTTCCATAAAGTGCAGTTCAGCTGTGGCCCCAATTTCTGTGGGCCTACACTTTCTCGCAGCCAGAAGTCAGGAAACGTTACCAGCTGCCAGATCCATGGCATTCCCTGGATTGAGAAACAGCTCCTTGAGAAATACAGCTCTACCAGTGCTGACATAGAGAGAGCGTCTCTGGCATCATCTCTGCAACAACCGCAGCGGTTGTAATGCGGCTGTTTATAGAGTAGCCCCTGGTACTGCTGCGCGTCTGCTCCCCTAAGCCAGGGAGAGCAGCTGCGGAAGGCACTGACCAGCGCACGCTCCACCCCTTCCCCACAATCTGGCTGGATGAAGCTAGATCCAGGGTATTGAATACCTAGAGACTACATAGACATCTGGGTCAGAGTTGTAAATCAACAATCCAAGGACCAAATTTTGCCCCATAAGTATTTTGATCTAAGAATTTGAATGAGTTGCCCATCATTAAAATCAGAATGTAAATATTAAAAAGACTTTTGGCTTCTCCAAAACTCAGACCTCATAACCCACATCTTACTAACGGCCTTAGGTGAGACCGGCTGATCCTTCCCCAAACTCGGGCTCGCTGGTGCCCTCCCTGCTCACACCTACCTCCCTGATGGCCGCAGTCCTTTATAATGCCCGCCTTCTCTCAAAGGCAGCAGTCTTCTGTGTCTGTTTTTACTTCCTTTCTTCCTTCTATGCTTTCTCCTCTATTCCCTCTTCCTTCTTTTCTTTTCACCGAAGCGTTTCCATGTATGCAGTGATACAGAGAAGCTAAGACTCAAAGTAAAAAGAATGGGCTGCTCTGACAGGATACGAGCCCTCCTCCTCCCCGTCAGGCCAGCCCACGGGATTCCTCCACAGCCGCAGAGACAGACCTTCGTAGATACTCGTGGGCTATACAGGGTAGGGGCTGACACTGCTTTTCTGAGATTTCTCTTGCAACCAATTTTGGGTAAGAACTACATTACAGAATTCAAAGATAAATTCTCACAGGAGCATGAGAACTCCGTATGGTTAGAGAAGGGCAGATCCACATGTCTGAAGAATCAGAGAAGCCTAAAATTAACCTTATGTATAAGAGAAGCCAACCCAGCTTTGTGCTTGACAAAAAGCCACCCTATTTCTGATTTTCATTTTTGAGACATGGTTTCACTACCTAGTATCTTCCTGCCTCAACCTCCCAGGAAGCTCGGACACAGCCTACTGTGCTCAGCACGCAATTCCAGTTTCATCATGGAGATGGGCTAGCCAGAAAGTTTCAGAATATTTTTGTGTGGAAATAAAGACATGCATGTGCACACACATACACACATTCTTTAAGTAAAGCGAGGTTCAGTACGTCAGTAGTCAACACAGCCCACAATGAATTTCTTCATCTTCTCATTAGGTCGATGACAGCATTCAGAGGAGACAGCAAAGTTATAAAATTGTTTGCAAAACACATAAAGGTAAGCCAGGGGCCTGTGGTTTCTGACGGGGGCTCTGAGGGACCCCTGAGGCTCCCTCCCAGACCCCAGCGTTTTCCCGTCAACCTCTTCTCCCACCTTCTTTGCAAGTATTTTCTTGATGCCTCTTTATGAGACATGTTCAGCAACGGTTCTGGTTCTCTTTGAATTCATGCTTCTTCACACATCCCTGCCCTGCAGCAGCTGCCGCTCTGCCTCGCTCCAGGGTGTGCAGGCGACCCTTGACGCTGGGACTCACTGAGGGCTCTCCAGTTCCGTTCTTTGCCCTAGAAGTTGGTCCTAATGAAGGGTAGCCATATTTGTTCCCTCTTTCCTGACCTTAATTTTGAGATAAAGTGCTCTAAGTTGGCCTGTGACTGTTTTTTATTGTTGGGTTTTTTTTGTGTTTGCTTTGTTTTTGTTCTAAGGCAGGTTCTTGGTATTGTTGCCCAAGCTGCCCTCAAATTCATGATCCTCCTGTCTCAGCCTCCTGAGTACAGGTGGAAGCACACCACAGTACCCAAGTGATTATACTGTTTAAATGATACTTCCTTTCCTTTC